AGATCCCAGTTTATATGATAGAGTGATAAATCATAAGGATAACTGATAATGATAACAAGAATTTTTCAGCTTACATTTTTGTTACACTTTTTGCTTTTCAAGCCATTTTTGTATATTCCTATTTAATAATAACAACTTAATAAACAGGAAGAAGCATTTAAGAATTCTTGTTTTACTCATGAGGAAGCTGGAACACCAAAAATGTTATGTAACTTACTAGGGTCACACAAGTAGGCAATTCATTCATTCAGGAGTAGTGGTTGCGTGATTCTTGCCAGGGGAGTATATCCATATCATCTTTGGAGCTTATAACAAAGCACATGCCCAAATCTCACTCTTGGATATTCTGACAAATCTGTCTGGGGTGGACTTGAGCATTGACTGGGTATTTTTGTTTGCTTTTCAAGACCCACAGATGAAATACTTGGAGAAGGCAGGAAGGGACAGGAAAACTGGACAAATAGACACAGGGAACCTGGGGTGTAAAGGGAAAGGGGGAGAGTGCTGACCCATTGCAAGGATTGCAACCAGTGTCAAAAAAACAACTGTGTATTAATTTTTGAATGAGAAACAAATTTGCAAGGGAAACTTTCACCTAAAGCACAATAAAAAGAAAGATCCTCAGATGATTCAGGTGAACCCTCGGATAATGGAACCACTGATCCATTGCATACCTATTGTATGCCAGGAATTGAGCTAGTAAGTTAACAGAGCTGGAGCTAGAATTTCAGTCTCTTTTTACTCAATATTCAGCCCTGGTGGAGCAGTGGTTAAGAGCTTGACTGCTAACCAAAAGGTTGGCGGTTCAAATTCACCAGCCGCTCCTTGGAAACCCTGTGGGGCAGTTCCACCCTGTCCTATAGGGTCACTATAAGTCAGAATTGACTCGACGGCAGCAGGTTTGGGTTCTTCTCAATATGATGGTTTTGAGTTTCACCTTTTACTGTTCTTAGATATAACTAAGTTTCTGCTGTTGTTAGCAATGTAATACTGATGTTTAATGGGTCTGTGGGTCACCAAGGAGCTCTGGTAGAGCAGTGGTTAAGTGCTTGACTCCTAACCCAGAGGTCGACAGTTCAAACCCACCAGTCACTCCATGGGAGAAAGATGTGGCAGCCTGCTTCCATAAAGATTACATCCTTGGAAACCCTATGGGGAAGTTCCACTCTATCCTATAGGGTCGCTATGAGTCGCTATCAGGTGGGCGGCAACGGTTTAAGGTTATCACCATCAGCACTCTTCTTTGCCTTACCCACTGCCATCGAGTTGATTCTGACTCATAACAACCCCATAGGGTTTCCAAGGCTGTAAATCTTTATGGAAGCAGACTGCCGCATCTTTCTTCCGCGGACCTGCTGGTGGTTTCGAAATGCTGACCTTTTGGTTAGCAGTCGATTGCTTTAGCCACTACACCACCAGGGCTCCTTCTTTGCTTGTTGTTATTGTTAAGTGCTGTCAGGTCAGTTCTGACTCATAACGACCCTATGTACAACAGAATGAAACACTGCCCGGTCCTGCACCATCCTCACAATCATTGGTTATACTTGAGCCTGTTGTTGCAGCCATTGTGTCAGTCCATCTTGTTGAGGGTCTTCCTCTTTTTCGCTGACCCTCTACTTTACCAAGCATGATATCCTTCTCCAGGGACTGATCTTTCCTGATAACATGTCCAAAGTATGTGAGACGTAGTCTTGCCATGCTTGCTTCTGGTTATACTTCTTCCAAGATAGATTTGTTCGTTCTTTTGGCAGTCCGTGGTATTTTCAATATTCTTCGCCAGCACCATAATTGAAAGCTTCAATTCTTCTTCGGTCTTCCTTATTGTCCAACTTTCGCATGCATATGGGACGATTGACTTGGATCAGGCACACCTTAGTCTTCAAGATGACAGCTTTGCTTTTTAACACTTTAAAGAGGTCTTTTGCAGCAGATTTGCCCAATGCAATACGTCTTTTAATTTCTTGACTGCTGCTTCCATGGGTGTTGATTGTGGATCCAAGTAAAATGAAATCTTTGAAAACTATGGGAGATACTGAATTCTTAAAGTGTCCTCTGTATATGCACCAAAATCTCGTCATAGCTAGCAAATGAATTCATAAAACTGAAGAGCCCAAACCATCTTAAAAAGTAATTACTTCCCTGTGAATATACTAAAAATTCTACACTTTATTCTGTAGGTCACTTGTATATGAATTTTAACTCAATGAAGCTATTTAAAAAAGAACCAGAATAACCACTACTATGATTCTCTGTTGTGATCTGTAGTTTGCATTCTCCTTATTGAGAAAAGGAAAGAAATATTGCCTCTCGCCACAGCTTCCAGGTGATATCTTTCATTTGAATTACATATCTGTATGTGCGTAATTAATTTTTGCCCAACATACTCATGAAATAATACCTAGAACAAGAGAAATACAGGAACTTAATTATATTAAAAGTTATTAATATTTGGGGTTTATAAAGCATTTTTATTTCAGTTGAATATGCCTTCCCCAACTATCCCATAGAGTTGATATCTTCTACATTATATAAATAATAGAAATAAGGTTTATTAGATTAAGCTCCTCACCCTGGGTCACACTACTGTGTGTGCCTAAAGTGAGGTCAAACCTCATACTCATGATTCTGCTTTACTTTCACAGTCAGGGCTTTTCATTGTGATGTCATCATTTTTCCAGTCTCTGAACTGTTTCCACCTCTGTTTCTAACTCCCAGTTTCCACGCTTATATCTGCTTTTTCACATGCAGTGTAGATTGCCAGGGCTAGGAATCCTGAAGACATAAATCATTTGGCTCTGCAGTATTAGTATTGGATTAAAACCAAATACAAGTGGCAAAATAACACATGGTGAGAGCATGGGCTATGTTTCTATGATGCCAAGCAAAGCTGAATTAATTCTTCGAGAGGAGGTGTGAATGCACATGTATGATGATACAACTGTGAGCAAAATATTTTGTCACATTATCCTGTGTTGTTAGATTGGTCTGCCATCTGCCACTCTTGCATTGACTAGCTTAGAGCACCATGTGTGGTAGGGACTTGGAAGAGGCCACAGATTTTTCACTGAAAGATAAAGTAGATTCTTGTGCTTCTGCTATATTTCCTAATTAATCCTCCAAGGAATGATTCTTCTCACTGAAGATCAGTATAGGGTAATGAGCATTTCTTTCTTGGCATTATGTTTATAAACTAGCTGTGAATTTACAATTTTTGTTTGTTCTGTTTCATGTAATTCTTTTGTTTTGTCCAGCCCTTACAGTTTATGAATTTAAACTTATCAGGATAAATTATGTTCAATATACTGAGTTTAAGAGGGCAGGAACGTATGTAATAAAAATTGTAAATACTTCCATGCAAAAGGATTGACATTATAAAGTGTCAGTACATGAGAGAATAATGATCTGTTATCAGAGAAATATTAAATCATGTAGAAAAACACCTTCATTCCTAGAGACTTCCAAATAAGTGAGATTTTACTACAAAGCGCACAGGCATTTTCTTTTAATCCTTGAAAGCATAAAGATAAAACCCATGAGAGGAGGACAAGTGATTATTTTGGAGCAGCTATCTAAAACTTGGAGCCTTGGTGGCACAGTGTTTAAGAGCTCGGCTGCTAACCAAAAGGTTGGCAGTTCGAGTCCACCAGCTGCTCCTTGGAAACCCTATGAGGCAGTTCTACTCTGTCCTGCAGGGTCATTATGAGTTGGAATCGACTCAACGACAATGATTTTTTGTTGTTGTTGTTGTTATCTAAAACTCAGGTGCTAAATAGTCCAAACCAAAACAACAACTAACGCTGTGAAAAGATCAAGCTTTTATTGTATCCTATATTCTTTATTCTCTTTAAAACAGTCTATGCAGTCTTTTCCCAAAGTCAGGGTTCCTCAACCTCAATACTGTTGGCATTTTGGGCCAGATAATTCTTTGCTGTGGGGGCTGTCTTGTGCATTGGAGGATGTTTAGCAGCGTCCTTAGCCTCTACAGGAAACGTGGGTGGTGTAGTGGTTAAGAGCTATGGCTGCTAACCAAAAGGTTGGCAGTTCAAATCCACCAGGCGCTCCTTGGAAGCTGTATGGGGCAGTTCTGCTCTGTCCTGTAGGGTCATTATGAGTCAGCATTGACTCGACGGCAATGGGTTTGGTTTGTTTTTTTGTTTTTGTTTTTTTTCGCCTCTACATACTAGATGCCAGTAGCCTTTCCTTCTCCCCACTTGTGACAACCAAAAATGTCTGTAGACATTACCAAATATCCCCGGAGGGCAAGATCACCCCTGGTTGAGAACCACTGCTATAAATATACTAGAGAATAGAAGCTATAATACAAATTGATAAGACTCTGGGAGAGGGTAGGACAGTACTCAAAAGATTTTGTTCTATTTAGTACTGAGGATCAAAGGTTTTGAATTCATATTATTGTGATCAAATGATAATTATTAAAAAGGAAAGTGTCTGATCCAAAGATTTGCCCTTACAAGCATCGAAACGTAGTTAGTACATGTCTTCTCAGAAGATCGATTTATCAAACAGTTTTGTAATCATTCCAAGGATGCTTCACAGAAGAAATCTGACTTAATCCTTTTTTCCTAGAATATATTTTAGATTCCTGAAATTGTCTATAAATAAATTGGTTTTTTATTTCAAAAAGTCTGGAAAAAAATCAGAATTAACCCTTCTTTTTTTCCTTTATAGACTACATTCCAAGTTCTTAAAACTGCCTGTATTTCTAACAGATTACAAGATTAATAATCTTGCTAACTGTTTAATAACATGGACTTTCAGTTTATTTTCTTACTTTGATATTTTTCCTCCCCAGAATTCAGCATTTATGGAACATGATCAGTAGTACATTTTAGCTTTTCTAATGCAGATACTTTTAGTTTTTTGTTACCATCAGTTACCTGGCAGCACTAATGATTTGTTTTTTACCATGGTGACTTTGAAGTAGTACAGTGACTCTTGCCTTCACTTATCCTTCCCTTTTCCTTTTTTCACATTAACAGCTGCTGCTGATTCAGCAGACCGAAGTCCTTGGCCCACCTCTGCACCCGCCCTTGCTGAGAGTCAGATCCCAGAAGACAGTGACTCAGGTTCACAGAAGAAAAGAGAAGAAATGCCACCTGAGGAAGTTGAGCCAGAGCCCACAGAAGCATGGAAGGTACATTATAAGTCCAAATAATTCACTTTCTAATTTAGGGGACTTAACTCTTTACCAGGAAGGGTTTCAAAGCATATGAATCTGATAGAATCCTAACAGTTATTTCTTTCTCGTTCTTTTTGAAAGAAGCCTTCTCCCATGAACCTATAAAATATTTTCATAGAATTATGTCATAAAGACTGTAAGCTAGCCTAAAGGAAGTTTTCAGATCACCCAAACGTTGTATCTTAAAAAAATGGATTTATGAACCAGACCAGTATGGTGAATTTTTATTCATCCAGAAGGAGTCTTCATATTCCTTTTTAAGAATAAGCTCTGCTAGTATAATTAAAATTAAAATATAATTTGATTTTCTAAGATGGATATATGCACATTCCCAGAGAACAGGACATCTATATGGTTGTATCTAAAGCACATCTGTATGGTTGTTCAGATCGTAAGCCAGCTTTACAAAGAGAGGAAGATCTATTGTGTAGGAGAGGTTATGCTGCTGAGTTGCTTACAGTTCTGAGTTGATTGTATCCACAGTCAATTATCTATTTGGAAAAGGCACCAATTTAATTAGCAGATTTCCCAGGAGTAACAGTAACTGGACTGATCTTTTATATGTTGATAAGCTTTTTAAACACGTTTAAGCCCTGATGAAGTTGATGTGCTAGTTCAGATTTATTGAAGTAAATACAAGTCTCACTGTTGACAACAGGAATTATGAGAAGCAGTCTTCATAAGAAGAATTATATTTTTATATGTATGTTAAGAAATTTAAAACCCTATTAAGACTTTAGGAAGTGCTCTCACCTTGGCAAATGGATTAGTCCTGTTCTTTTGGAGCCAGTTCAATATCCAGTTTATTTATGGTACAGCAGTAGCCAATCTCACTGTTTTGACTGTATTATCTAAAAAATAAACTGTTAATTATAACAACATGCAGTTTTTTTGTCCTTTTAAACCAACTTGAGTCCAGAGAAGAAGAAGAAAGTGAGCAAGTGGTGGGTGTTTGCCTTTTTTTACCTAGCCAAATGCACATGATGTTGGCTGTCAGGTTCATTGTCAATAATGCCTTGTTAATGTTACACTACCTCAGTTTTTAATGTTAGAATATCTCACATGGCACTTCTGACTATCCTTCCATTTGTTATGTAACTGGAAAGTATTGGATTACTGGAGTGGGAAGGGAACCTTCCTGAGTGGTTGAGATTCCTCTGGCCTTCTGCTGATTTACAGACACAAGTATTTTAAAAAATTGGTTCCCTTTGTTCTTGGAACCTCAGCAGAATGGAGAGATTATCTCTGGTATATGCTCCCCATTCAGGTGCCAGTAGGGAGTCTTCTCACGAATTAACTGTATGTAAATATTTGTTTTGAGATACTCTGTTGAAATCAGACTGAAAGCCACCTCTGATAACCTTCAATTACTGTAATAGTAGTGGCAGAATTAAGGATGACTGAGCTGATTTATTTGTAGCAGAAAATAATTATGGCATTTAATTGAAGCCATGTTTATTATATAAAGCAACAGTAGTAATAAAGTAACCTTGCAACTGTGTAAATTTCACCATCTAATACTAATTTGGTGCCAGATAGAGAGAGCTTTTTTCCATCTTGAGTCATTTGGCACTTCTCCCCCCATGTCCACCTTCATCTCATTTAATGTTCTTAGTAGGGGCATACGTAGAACTACTGTTGTTACTTGTCCTTTATTCTTAGGCTGGAGTAGAGGCAATCAGTTTCCTGCTGTTGGAGATCTAAAGGACCCAAAGCAAAAAAGAAGTTGTTATTCATTTAAACAAGGAATCATTATAGAATGATTAAAAACTACCATTTATTAAGCATACATAACTTTGTGAAGTAACATGTTATCTCCATTTTATCAATAAGAAAACTTAAGCTCAGAGAGGTAAAATAACTTGTTAATGCCCATACAGCAAGTATGCTGGTGTTCAGAGTAGAAATGCCTGAGTTGTTCATTACTCCTGGTAGTTAAAAGTGCTGTAGCTTGATGTGCTTACGATTTGACAGTGTCACAAAGTTTGGTGTTATATTCTCTTACACTCAGTCCTGGAGAAGACAGCATAGTGACATCATATTCCTAAGTAATGCTGCCAAGTGTGATAAAAAGAATATGCCAAAACCACAGATTGATGAGGTTCTGTAAGAACTTAATGATACAAAATGATTGATTTGACCCTTAATAAAAAGTCAGTTTTCCAATTTTGAAATATCCAGTGTTATAGGCGTTAGTCACTCTACTATGCTTCTTCTTAATAGCCTGTTGCGTTTTATTTTGTTTTGTATTCATAATTGCTCCATTTTGTGGATAGAAAATGGGTATTACTCTAAAGGTATTTCAAAGCTAGGCAGAAGGCCTTAGCTATTCTCTTCCTGCCATTAAGGATGAATCTTGCCCGTCCACCAAACACATGGACTCCAGCTCCGTAGAAAAAGAGATTGCAAGTGTTGAATGTGGCAGCAGGGCTTATTTATAAATAGCTCTGAAAGTAATTGCATGTGTCAGTAACAGTTCGGATTGAGTTTATTTTGATTTTTTATTGTCTAATCAACTAAAGAGTGAAACTGCTTCCTTAAACAAATCAATCAACTAGCAAAATCCTTTGTATATACCTGTTTGGTGTTATATGTGGTTTGTTATATGTGTGTTTCACTTGTGAAAATTTTTGTTTGTTTCTAACTATCATGTATGTCATACACTGGTATCTTCATTTGTAAATATGTTTTTTAATGTTATTTAAAGTACTTCCAGATCATCAAAAAAGAAAAAAAAAAGCAGCAAAGTGAAAGCATGTGGCTGTAGCATTAAATAAGCCTAAATTGTTGTTTTTAATAAGTATAAATATGTTTTTTTATCAATAGAATAATTTTTAGTTTTCTTTTTTGATAATTTAGATATCCATATTACCTCTTCAGTCTTGAAAATGTGATGGTGAGCTAACAGATTGCTATCAGGAGTGATATCCTTCCCTGTAACACCCTCCATAAAACTGCATTATGATGATTACGTATCAGAGCGTATTTCACAACCAGCTTAAACTTCCAACTTAATTTTGAAACAATGTTATTCATAGAAACCTACTAACCTAAAATGTTTTTACCACTTTATTTCTTAAATGTAGGTGGAAAAAACGCACATCAAGGTCACAGTACCCACCTCAAATGGTGACCAAACTCAGGTTTGTGCCAACAGGTCACTTGTTCCTCTTCCCCCGCCCTCCCACTGCACCACCACCATTTTTTTCTTCTCCAACTCCCCCTCCTTAAAAAAAAGTTATAAAATGAAGGTTCAAACAAACTTCAATGAACCAATATTTTATCATTTTTCTTTCTTTTTTTAATTATGGCAAAACAGAAGCCTGCAGAAAAAACTGAAGATCTGATAAGAATGAGGAAGGTTAGCCATTTTTCACTTTCACAAAACTACATTGCCGTTTCACCCATGGTGACTTATAGTGCATTAAAAAGACAGTGATCCATTCTTTTCATTGATTTCTCTTAATCAGAAATTACTTTCAGATAGTAATACACACTCATGCATATTATAATTATAATTATAATTCTATGTTACATATTGAAAGATTTCATTAAAATAAACTTTCCAGTAGGAAAGTATATCTTTAAACAAAATTAAATTATCAGTAAGAACCAAACCTATCCTTTATACTTAAACTTTATAAGAAATATTTTTAAATAGCATCATATTCATGAAATTGTTAATAATGTTTTATACATACTTATCATGAAAACCGTCATAGCAACAACTCCCAGTATTGTTAATAACTGTGGGTTTGACTGCTCTGTTCCTTATTCTTCCCAACTATAGAGTGAGATGAATCAGTTCTTATTTAATAGAATATTGGCTGATTAAGTATAAAATGCCCTTACATATTTCTTATGAAAAGTATTAGAGATAAACATACTTCAGTGTTACTAAATATGAAATATGTCCAAAAAGCTGAATAATGTTTTTTACCATTTCTCAGCTCCATGGAACATGTAACTTCAAAAGCTTTTTAAAGTATGTTTTAAGGTAACCCTCAAAGAACTCAGTTTCAAAAATGAACATAAAACACCTTGCTATGTAAGAAGTCAGTGAAGCCAGGAGCACTGTCTATTTAAATAACTTCATCACATTCTTTCATTTTTCATGAACAAGGTCATCCATTTTCTAGTGGTAGTCATGTTCTCTGTGTGTCCTTGTGGTTCTGTGACCATTTCATGTTGGCATATGCTGCACTGCAGACATTTAATTTTAAATATTTTTTGGTTTGCCAATTTGCAGTTTTTTTCCTGCAAGAATAAGATTTTAATTTTTTATGCTTTTCTGTTTTCCCCCCTTTCATTTTCACAGAAAAAAAGAGAGAGACTAGATGGTGAAAACATTTATATCAGACATAGCAATTTAATGTTGGAGGTTTGTATGAACTTGAAGTTTATTTCAGTTGGTTGCCTGGAACCTTCTGCATTCTTTGCTGCTCCCCTTTCCTTCTTTCTGTGCTGCATTTGGTTTTGCATGCCGTTGCATGGCAAAATTTTAGGTTTAAAATGCTTTTGCATGTTGGTAAACATGAAGATATGCACCCATCTCTCCTTCTGACTCTTTTTAGTTTCCATCTCTTATACGCATCTGAAAAAATATATGATTGGGACTGCCTCTACTTCTAATGGTTCCATTGTTTTATTCATTTTTCAAAAGTTCTTTATCATTTCTAAAAGTTCGTTGAATTTTCCAAGAATATAAACTCCTATGTGTTCCAAGAAGCAAATTTACATTATGTTTTCATCTTCTGAACTGAGACAATGTGGACAAGTAGGAGAAATGATCACAATTCAGAAAGAACTTAAAATATTAGAGATACCAGAAACTGACAGAAGGACAGTTGGCATTGCAGGGGGGAGCGGGGAGGGGTGGAGTAAGATACAGGAAGGAAAGGAGGGAGCCTAGCCCTTAATGAGTAGCTGTTTTAAGATAAGATAGTTTACTCCTAAAGACAGGCCTATTAGTAAGCATTATTATTTTAAAGATGAGAAAATCAAGGCTTAAATAAATTGATTTCCCTAAGGTCACAGAGCTGGTAAATTGGTTAAGGTAGGATTTGAGTTAGGATCTATCTAACCTTACTAAATTATACTGTTGTCCTTTCAGAAATAGCAACATACTGTATGCTATAGGAGCCATAAGGTAATTTTCCCACTATATTCATTGGTCAGATTTTTACCAGACTTGTATTAGGGTACTTTATCTAGTTTTTGGCTCCATATTGGATAGTGAAATGTAAAATTAATTAGAAGAATAGAGGAAATCTATGAGGAAAAATTGAGGAAACTGGAATTATTTCATGTGGTAAAAATACTGAGGCCAAGTAAGTTTACACACCAGAAAAACTCCTATGTAGAAGTCGATGACCAGGTTATTTTACAACTCCAGTTAAGACAGAGCCAAAAGAAATGAGTTTAAACTCTGGCATCAGGGATTTAATTAAATATAAAGAAAATTTTTTCAGCATGAAGATTTTTGGAACATTAAAATGTGTTACTTGAAGAAAGTTATAGAACTTTAGATATAGGAATCCTCTGGATGAACTTTTACATTTAGTGGGCTCACATTCATCCAGAATGGCTTGAATGTTGTGCTGACTGAAGAGCCTAGATAGCCTTTCTTCTAATCCTAAAATACTGTGAGCTTGAGATTATAGACCACAAATATTACTATCAATTTTATCAAAAGTATTCATGCATTGCCTATTAGGTCCGATTGCGCCGTGCTGGGTGCGCCACACCTTAGCCTGGAAGAGAACAGTAAATTCCTACAAGTGAATGGACAAGTGTTGATTCAAATTATTGTAAGGGAACTTATACTCAGTTTAGGATGAATTGAAGTTTTTGAATTTGTCGTTTCAAACTATTTATTAAAATACTTACTTTCATTTATACGACAAATATAAGCAGTTGTGTGTTCCAGATACTGTATAGGGCACTAGAAATGTAATAGAAATTTGGTAAACATGGTTCCTGCTTTCAGGAAGCTTACAGTGTGGGGAAGTGGGGAGGAAGAAATAATAAATGAGTAAATAAATAACAACAACATGATTACAAATTATTATAAAAACTATGAAGGAACTATCCAGTATGCTATGCTAATAAAGGGGATCTACTGTAACCACAGGAGAAAGATGTGGCAGTCTGCTTCCGTAAAGATTTACAGCCTTGGAAACCCTGTGGGCAGTTCTCCTCTGTCCTATAGGGTCCCTATGAATCGAAACTGACTTGAAGGCAAAGAGTTTACTCTAAATAAAATGGTCAGGGAGGATCTCTCTGAAGAGATAGCGTTTTTGCTGAGATCTGAAAGATGAACATATATTAAATGCAGTAAATATTATTAAACTTAGAAGTTTGAAGAAACGTTTTTTGATAAATCTCTTGTTTAATATATGGCCTCTAGTAATGACTTAACTTTGTCTTGTTTTTTATCAGTACATATATTTTGAGTGCCTGCTATGTATAAGGTACTTTGATAAAATTAATAAAAATTATACTAATGGCCAGCATTCATTAAGGCGTGTACTGGGTGCTGGACACAATACTAAGTGTCTTACATAGTTTTTTTAAAGTAATGTGAGGTTTTCCAAGGCTGGAACCTAGGATATTTCAGACTTGACAACTTAGACCTCTTTTCTCTAACCCGTATCTGAATCCAGACCTGAAATCCTTCTGTCTTCAGAGATTCAGAAGGGTAATAGATGTCAATTTATTTCCTTGTGCTCAGCAATGTAACATATCCCAAATCCAAACATATATGTGTTGCTTAATTAGTCTATCTTCAGTGTTTCCTCCTACCTGGAACCTGCAGTACCAATCATATATTTGCCATTTGTTCCATGAGGTGTGTTATGGCTTCTGAGACTCACAAAATCCCTGTGTGTGATGTTTTTTCCCAGCATTCCATTGACAGCCATGAGAGGGGATTCCTAAATAAGTGTGTGTTTGGAAATTAAAACTACTAACTGCCTTTTGAGAACATCTTATATTTAATGAAGTGTTTGGTTTGATTAAGGGAGTCCTGGTGGTTTAGTAGTTAAGCACTCAGCTGCTAGCCGAAAGGTTGGTGGTTCAAATCCACCAGCTGCTCCACGGAAGAAAGATGTGGCAGTCTGCTTCCGTAAAGATTTACAGCCTTAGAAACTCTATGAGGCAGTTCAGCTCTGTCCTTTAGGGTCACTATGAGTCAGAATTGACTTGACAGCAATGGGTTTGGTTTTGGTTTTTGGTTTGATTGCTGCTAAAATTATAAGATGATAGGCATCAAAGTGTCTAACCTGAAAACAGCCAAGGTAATTTGACTGACCATCATTCTTTAGATATTGGAAAAAGAAGTTTGTTTGTCTTTTTTTTCCCCCTTAAGGAAGTTCTCTCAAGTTTTCTATCATTCTAGCAGTTTTTTTTCTTTCTTTCTTTTTTTTAAGCATTCTTCTTCCCCCGACTCCTACCCCACCCTCACTAATGCTTTATTCTGGCACAAATAAGGTCGAGTTCATTTTTAGATCTACTGCCTCCTCCTCCACATCCCAGAGAGAACCTGTAGCAAGTGTCTATGACAAATTCTATTTGGAACAGGTCCCTTTGAGATCTTAATTTTACTCTGTGCCCCCACAGGTTTCCAACAGAGCCAGCTAAGAAGGATGGAGAAAGCTCCCTAAGAAGCTATTGATTTTATTGAAATGTTTATTTTCTCAGGTTCCAAACTAATCAAAAGCTAGGTGAGAAGAGTAACAAATCACCAGTTTCTCATATTAAGAGGCTAACCGAGAGAGTTATGGTTTGACCGTAATATCTTTTGCTCATTTTTGTTTTATTCTGTTCACACTTTTAACCCTCCCATAAATGAGTTGATATTGACTGGACAGCAACTGGTAGGTATGTGTTAAGTGGTTCTTGGCCTAAACAGCTATCATTTCCAATCAGGAGCTGGGTTACAAGGCTTTACACACCTGATGGGTCTCAGTCAGTCAACCCACCACTGAGTCTTTGAGTTTGTTTGTGTTTTTCTTAGCTAGTATACATGCTTTTCTTGCTTTCATCTAGAACAAAAGCGCAAACGTTGTTTCCCCATGGCGAAGCCCATATTCATGAGATATACTCACATTTCATCCCAGCTGGCAAGAGGTACTCTTATGGGGGAGCTTCAGGATTGCCCTTTTTAGTTTAGTTTTCTCTTTGACCAATCTCCAAGCAAATATACATAGTTCAGTCTTACATAAATAAAAAGAATAGACTAGTAAACGAATTTTCTGAATGAATCCCTCCAGAGTAAAAATTATCCTGTGTCTCACTCATTCTTTTTCCTATGCTACTTCCCTTTGGCATTGCTTTTGGAATAGTTTTATCTAGTTGAAGCCTATATTGCCTTCAGGGAAAAAACTTTCAAGCAAATTTTTATTTAATTGAATTCCAGTTTTATTTTATTTATTTATTTTTCAAAATGAGGCTGTTTCCCACAAAGCCAAAAAAGAAAGACTAATACCAAAATACACACAGCATATCAGGAGATATGTTTAACATTATGCTTTTCTTGGATACAGAACTATCTTGATGTATAATAAACAGAAAATTTTTAGCAGTCATCAAGTGACGGACTCCCACATATTTTGATCTCAAGCATAGATCTCTTGAGTTTTTTCAAAGAAGTGTGTTGGACAAAGAACATTTGAGTTTTTGTCTTCAAGTTGTATCTCCCAGACTATTTTTAGTCAAGTCTCCCTTTTCAAAGTTGTTTTGGACCTCCTTTGACGTCTCTACTTCTAGTTGCACAGTATTTAATCTGCTGGAACAGTTGAGTTATTTTTAACTATTAAGGAAGTATATAAGGTATTTGACAAACTCTCATTAACTCATTCCCAATCCATTGAAGGTTACTAGAAGAGGGTCCCTATTTTGAATTGTACTAAGGGATGAAGTGAAGCTGTTGGAAGCTGGAAAGCATAAAGCTTTTAGTTCATGTGAATAGTATTGACAAAGAAAAAGCCATTATATTCCATACCCTTGAGTGATTTTTCTTAAGTAGTAACAATCTGCTCTGGAGTATTGTGCCAGGAATTTCAATGATAAATTCTTATATCTAGAAAGTGATGTTACTATTTATCAAAAAGAAACATTAACCATCTATAATAGGGAAGCAAAATTATCCTCATGTAGAAATAGAGGGCGGGATACTGACAGTTTTACCTCACTAATGTAAGCCAGTGGTGAGAGTTGAATGTTTCACCATAGCCTTCATTTAATGGTTTCTCCTTATCTTTTGCTATCTCCATCCTGCCTGGGCTGAGCCTAAATCAGTTCATATCCAGCTGAGGTTAATGGAATTGTGGGATTATCTTCTTGGGAAGAGGAGTTGGAGATCTGGTGCTACATCATAATAGGAAGAAGAGTCACAAAATTAAGGAGTGAACTCTATGGGTTGTATAACTGCTAAGAGCTATAGGGTTATGATGCTTCACTGCTTCCAAGAAAGGACTTGTTAAAAAACAAACAAGCAAATATACCATGCTGTATATTTACAGTTTGAATGCTATTAATGGATTAGTAACATCTATCCTGGATGTGGTGTGTTTTCTACCAGTGCCCATAGTCTCTAATGGGCTGCCGTTGTGTAGGTTTTTCCTGAGTACTTATTGTTTTGCATCTTTGTCCTTTCAAATACAGGATTTAGACAAGAATCAAGAAGAGATCAAAAAACACCATGCCAGCATCAGTGAGCTGAAAAAGAACTTCATGGAATCTGTACCAGAACCACGGCCTAGTGAGTGGGATAAACGCTTATCCACTCACTCCCCGTTCCGAACACTTAGCATCAATGGGCAAGTCCCCACAGGAGAAGGAGTGAGTACTTTGTCCGTGTGACCTAGTGTTAGAAATATTCTGTATCTGAGAGAAAGTTTAAAGTTGAAATTTAGCTTTGGTGCCTCACCAGTTCATTGCAGATGTAAGGCATTCATAACCAAACACTTGTGTTTTAAGTCATTTAGGCTACCCAGTTTAGTAGATGATTAGCAGAGAGGGCTCTGAGAACTGTCTCTGCAGCTGCATGCTTCTGGCTAGTGTGTGTTTACAAATTGACCATAGGGCAGTAGAGCTTTGTTTATATTTAGACTGTGACTTCAAGGACCAGAGAATTTGCTAAATTAATTAAAGTCAAAATTGGAAAGGGTTTAACATTTTTTTAAACTTTATTTGAGCATTTGTACAACTTAGAAATGTCTGGAATGGTTGGCCACATTATATAATAAACCAAGAAGGCCCCTAAGCCAGAAAATGTAAAACACCAAGTATTAACGATAGTATTTCAATTTTAGAAAAACTATTGATGATATTGTATCTTTATAAAGAGTAATATTAAACTTGTAATATGTTTTCTAAGATAGTCATAATTAGAGGAGGCCAGAGATACCTTTCAGGGGCTGTTCTTACTCTATTATTGTTGTCATTTCCTATTTTGGAAATCCTGAATAAATGAATATGTGTAATGAACATATATCCAAAGATTCTTTACTTAATCTTTAGCTGGTACAGGTTAAATATTTATATAATTAGTCACACTCATCTAATGAGTGATTATAATGATTTAAAAATTATGTGCTTGTTTTTTTCCCCAAAACTAGAAAGTTAAGTGAGGTAAAGTGATAATAATTTTAAAAAGTGGTTTTTACATACAGAATTTGTAAGAAACTATCAAAGTTATTGTTTAGTTTCTGGAACTGGAGAAAGTCAATCCACAAAGGCTTCTTCTTGTATTTTTTCAAAAGTATGATTAAAATTGGCTAACAAGTCTCCAAACAGTTGCACCAGTTTCACCAAGGCTTGGAGAGTACCTGAATGAAATAGAGTTACCAGAAATGATAGGATACTGTTGTTACTATTCTCTGTCCTCTCAGCCTCCATTCTCCAATATAAATGACATTTGTTTCATGCTCTAAATCTGGAGAATGTACCCTGAACTGAGACGTTGGCCCTGCTTTCTGGTGAGACCACTGCTCAGTGTCAGTCAGGTATTTCATTCTGGTATGCCTGTAGCAATAAGGGAGCCCTGCTGGCACAGTAGTTAAGAGCTCGGCTGCTAATCGAAAGGTTGACAGTTCAAATCCACCAGCCACTCCTTGGAAACCCTCTGGGGGCAGTTCTACTCTATCCTATAGGGTCACTATGAGTCAGAATCGACTGGATGGCAACGGGTTAACGGCTTCTAGCAATAAGAGTCAGAAAGGGTCTAGCAGTAGTGGTGCCTTAATTTCACTGAGAGGGTCTGGCTAATCAAAGCCTGAGTGAATGACTCTGAACAAGTCACTTACCTTGTCAGGACTTCAGTTTATTGAGTAGATGATCTTTAAGGTCCTCACTAACTCTAAAATTCTGTAAGTCTGTGACTCCATGAGAATAAGCCTCATTGCTGTCTGGCCTGGTTAACCCTACCTATAAATCATAACTGCATATTTTAAAAGTTTTCTTTTTAATTCTGTGCAAGTAATAAAAGATGTTCAACTACTAAAAAAAAAATAACTTAGTAACTCTCTTGAATGATGTTGGGTAAATTTGAATTGGTCTCCATTTCCAGAAATTATCATGTGTTTTTACAGAAACCCTCCAGAAATCATCTCAGGGCTGGTTTTGGGAATGGAGATGTCATTCTGTGGACTTGAAAGAAATGACTTTTTATAAACTAAATCAGATCCATGGGGAGCCCTTAAGCAATTTTAGCTCTATGCTCACGTACATTATCCCTCTAAATGAAAAATGGAATAAGTGAGAACTGTACTGTGATAACCTCTTATATAGGGATAATTTTACTTTTGGCATATCTTACTTTTTCTTTAATAATTAGGACAATATTTATTATCTGGGAATACCTCTTCCACCTTTGATAGCATTGTTGTTACATTGCAAGGCAATTGAATTTTATATAATTTGTGTATAACCAGGTGAAGAAAACCTCTATCCTTCCCTCGGAGAGAAAGGTTGGTGGACCAGAGGTAAAGCTGCTGTTATGACTTGTGCTTCTCAATCAGAATTTGCTCTTGTCATGGCACTAAGCAGATAATCCCCCCAAAACTGAACAGCAGCTTCTGAGTAATTTTTTTTTCTTCTTCTTTTGGCTATAGTAGTAATTTCACACTCAGCCTTCTGGCCTAACACATAACACTTCCACTGCTGCAAGTTTTGCAGCTTTCAGTTTGCTTATTTCGGCGCATGGCTGGTTGAAAAGCTGCATGAAGATGTAAATATGTATTCAGAGAGAAAATGAATTTAATTGTACCCTATTCTTTTTATGTTGTCTTTCTTCTCCCTCTTTTTTTCTTTTAAAAATCACTATAATTTTGCATCCTTTCTCTTCTTTTTTTCTTTTTGCTGACCAGCCCCCCAGCTACTTTCTCCCTGATACATATCACTTAGGGGTGTGCAAAGAACCAGTTTTGAGCTTCCAAACTGATCAGAGAAGGCTTGCTCAACTGAGAGAACTTAGAGCCAAGTTTTTCCTTTCATAAAATCTGTCTTAACTATGGATGGCAGAGTACAGAAATTGGGGAAGAGAGGAGAAAGCGTCTCAATTGGACAAGTGGGGGAAAAAGCTTTCCTTAAAAGTGTCAAAAATATTCATTTAATGTAATATATAGACTTTCATGATTGTCATTATTATTATTGTTAATAATCATGACTCAGAGACAGGGAGGGAGTTTGCAATTGTTAAGATCTTGTACAGTTTTGTTTCTGTTTTTGTTTTGTTTTATGCTTGAGGTTTCCAAGGGTTAAATCATTTGTGTTCTACTTAAGTAGAACTTGGAGGACCATTATAAATTTTTATACTTTTTGTTTTTCTTTTGCAGTCTTTAAAATGTTTAGGATTACAATTTTTACTCCCTTAAGCAAAAGCTAACTACATACTGAATGAACTATTGCATTTTTAAGTCTATATGAAAAATATAAAGATAACTTTTTATATTCTGCCATTCTGTTTGTAATAAAAGTAACTTTTCTGATGGCAAAAGGAATGCTTCATTATTGGCTTTGCCGGATTGATCTAAGAAAAAATTGGCAGCGCTAAAGCAATGAAAAATTACTTAGAATTCATATGTGGAAATCCTCTGAAGGAGGAGTAAATACTATAAGGAAGTCCAGTGATTCCTTGAACTTTCAGAAGTTCTGATGTTGTTCATTCACAAAATTATCTACTGAGCACCCTGCTGTATTACAGACACTTGGCCAAGATAAATTGCCAAACTTAAGTAAAGCTGAAGTAAAGAGCATCCAAAAGATCTTCCCAAATCCTTTGCACATCCCCAAGTATCATTTTTGAGCACTTTCCATCTGTCATTTTGTTCATCTTTCTCTGTCTTTCTTGATCTTCTACCGTGAAAGCAGACAGAGGAACGTGCTCTGTTAGTACAGGGTGAAGAGAAAATTAAAAGGCAAGAGAGATCTACTGAAAGAGCCTTGCCCCAGCAAGAAAACGAAGAAATTCTTCCCAAGGTTTCTATTCCAATCCCTGAGGATCACAAGTCTCTCAAAAAGTGCCGTCTCTACTCTAGTACTTTTCCATTTCCTCGTATTCCTTTCATGATGTCTTTTCTCGTGGTCCTTGCATTGGCTGTTTGGTGGTTGGTCTTTCTGTGATCGGAAAACAGGGTGCTCATCTGAAATGTCGAGACTCAAACCATTGAACTTCTGTCCTTGACTTCTACTGTGTTATCTCCTATATGATGTTCTCTAGTTCACTGTCCCAGAGGAGATCTTGTGATCACTTTTCTGTCAATAAAATGTTACTCTTTGTAGAGTATGTTACTTGGAGTATAAAGGAGTAGCAATGGATTGCCCAAGCCAGCTTTTCTGCCCTGAAGTCTAACAAGCCTTTGTACTGCATAGATAAATCAGATTTAAGCATATGGCAGGTTGATACTTTTCCCAAAAGCTTTAACTCTTTTATCCTGCATGTTCTTACCATTTACTGTTGCTATGTCCTCCTCCCCAATGTTTCGCACAAAGCAGGATACTCCTAAAACATTTGATGGAATATTTTCCTCATCCTTTACCGTCATTTGTGTGGCATGGGCTCCATAGTTCAAGAAAAAACATTAGACTTGCCAACCTTTCAGAAGCCTTAAAATGATACATTTTGATTTATGAAATCTATAACCACTCCTTTTCTTGGGATGTCAAACCAGTATATACAAAGGCCTTTTCTGGAAAAGGACTTTTGACTTCTGTGGCCTTCTTATGAGTATTTCTGAGAGGTACAGGGACAGATGACTTTTTCCTGCCTGGTATACAGAAGAGAGCTACAAAGATTAAATACCATCTTTTCACAAGTAGGGTGTTGATGGTATAAGGAAAATGGTGCTGGTGCCCCTCATCCTTCAGCCAGGGCTAAATTTCCCAGACTATTCTTCCTCCTACCCATCTTTAAAAGTCCTGGAATACAGATTTATTCGAGATCTGTACATAAACATATCCTTCTCAGAATTAAAATACTGTGTAACTTCTTTATGACTTAAGTAATTATATTGTTAGAAGCAATATTTAGCCAGTATGACAAGCTTAAAGTATATATTTATATACTTTGTTTTCCTGATGCTCTTCAGGACTGTTTGTTCTTGCACTTTGTGTTGAAATCAATTGTTTTTAATCAATGGCCTTGTGAGCTAAAGTACTGTTGTGACAAGTGTGTGTTGTCTGTTTGCATGTTGATTTGTAAGGCTTCCCTGAATGTAAATATGAGTGCCTGCTCTCTTCAGAACACAACTCTGATACCTAACCAGTTATTTTTGTTTTACCTGAGTATTAATGAAACTTTGCATGTAGCTTGCTTTTTATGACACTTGAATGTACCAATA